GCAAACATCAATATGACGCACAATTTGACACGCCAAAAAGTCAAGAAAAACAGTTACACAAGACAATGCTGCAAAATCCCTAAAATATCGTCAAAAATAAGTGTCATGCTTGCAACGTTTTTCTACTGTCAAAATAGCATATCAGGGCATCTAAGTTTGGACATGTCTGTTTCCGCGGGGGTCACAAAGTTATAACCTAGGGGTAACATGTGCGTCGCGAGTTAGACATGCTAAGCATATGGACATCAAAATATTACCTTGTTTTGCCCACCACCAAGTGTTAGGTAACTGTATACTATAGAATCCCGGCCCGGGGGCAGGCTCTATCCTTCGTCGGCCACGCCCCTGACATCTCTTCTGGCACGTGACACCGACACGGGACCAGTTTCCGTTATCTCCGCTATCTCTGTTAGAGAAACATGCAAAACATGCTGGGCTACAATCATCCATTGAATTATGCAGACTGAAAAAAATCAAACTTTCCCCTGGTGTCTCGATATGTCATTCATACAAAACTCGATCAACATCAACAATACTTTATCGATTAAGAGATCGCTAAGATATGAAAATAAATATTTAGCAGAAAGTGCATTTACCTTGACAGGAGACACGCGTGAGAGACAGTTGAAGGGCAGGAGGATGAGAGATGCCGGGAGGGGGAGCCGAGTCAGGTTTTAAACACAGTAGATCATTTATGGGGATGGTATATTGAGTAAACTTTTTTGTAAAATCCGGGTTTTCATGTATTTAGACATAATATACTTTTTTACCTTCATCCCTAACGGTTAATGTTACTACGGTCAAAGATTCGCCTGTGAGTTATTTCTTAACCCCTTTTCCTGTAACTCTATACTTGTGTCTTAAATGTTTTTCTTAAATCTGTTTTTTCTGCCGATTTGTATATATATAATACATTTATTTCGATATGTAAGTTTATATATACTAGTATATATTATAGAGTTCCCATGGTTACATTGTACACCAGGTTGTGACCCCTGCACAACCGAACACCCCCTAAACAAGTGTTCTTTTATTTTTCTCAAATTACGACTACCATCGTCGGCACACCCATCGGTTGGTGAAACAGAGAGTGTTTTATACGGCTAGAATACATGAAGAAGGCAAAATAACCAAGTGGGTCGGCTCCCGTCAAGCGCCAGGCTTCTCCTATATCGTACAACACCTCCAGTCGGTGTAATAGAATTTAATACAATTTCATCATTTGTGTGAACACGAAGTTTTCTCAGAGGAAAGTATCAGAAGGAATAAAGAACCGTATGTCTGTAATGTTGTGTTCTGCTATATCATGTTTGTGCTTCGGAAGAATTTTTACAGTCATATGAAAAATATACTTCTTTTATTTTCAAGTTTTATAGTAGATGTAAAATTTCAGTCATTCATTTTTTTACCTTTTGGTTGGAGGTTGCGTGAGAAATGTTACCATCATAAATTATCTTCGTAATAGTTCAACGAGTTTGGTTACGTGGCTGTTCCTCAAAAAAATGAAATTGTTTAAATTCGATGTTCTGATATCAATTGTTTTAAAAAGGGAATGACAATTGGTAAACAGTTTTACATACAATATCTTAATGAAGAACTAATACATTTAAATGATAAAAAATATGTCATGAAGAAAATTAATATTTAAAGGTAAAAATAATTTCATTTTTTCAAGTTTTTTGTATATATTTAGCGTGTATTACATTCCTAAAATTTTTGACAGGCTATCTTCTACACTGCTTAGTATGTTTATTTGTAGTCTGGGTTGAGATGGCAGTGAGTGATGTATTTACCAAATACATGCGCCAGTTGATTGCTAAATAAAATATTTTTAGAAATTCCTATTTCTATTTGTAAAATTATCGTGACCATCATTTCCCCCTTTACAATCTACTGTGTAAAGCACGTGTTGTAAACTTTAAAAAGAATATGATTTCATTTTTTATTTCTAAACAAAATCTTAATTATTGGACCCCCGTTACTGAAATATGCGCTTCTTGTCTAGAATAATTTTTTGTATAAAAGAAAGTACGTCATGTGTCGTGATTGTATATATATATCAAATAAGCTTCAAATGATAACATATTTAGAGAATAATCAATAGTAAATATTACATAACTAAGAATAAATTCATATAATTCATCACAGGAAATGAACAAAGGGGAGAGATATTACCCAGAATACCATTGAATTGGCAAAGATATGAATTCTGAATGCTTCAAACTTCAGAAAAAAATTTTTTTTTCTTTTCTTTTCTTGTCTCAATAAGACATCTGTGACAAATGGTTTTTTTTATTAAATCTCCTTGAAAAAACAACGACTTTCAAACGTTATCTCGTGTACAAGATGGTCAGAATTAAACAACAACTGTATATTGATTATGTTATTTTTGTCCCTGCTTTAGACGCTATCATATGATAAAGACTTATATCGATCTAACCTCATTCAAACAAGTCGGATTTTCATCATTTGCTGTTTCGTATCTCGCGTATCTACGGCGATGTTGATATGGTGATATATCGGTCCGTTTTCATGGTAGTTTGGTATTTTGAATTGTCCTTCAATAACTGTACAAAGGACACACAAGTAAGAAGAAGTTACAACATATATATATCAGAAGATGAAGTGAATTCCACATTTAATTAATAAAACTTCACCGAACTGTTTCGTTCTTCTATGAAACTTGGGTGGTGTTAAGGGCCAAAAGTGTTGAAGTTAGAATGAGGTTAAGGAAACGGCTGTACTTCTATATCTTTGTAGATTCAGTCCGACAATGGACTTTAATGCATTGGCTATAAAGAAGAGATTTGTATCAGCCTTGCTTGTTCTTCTCACGCATGAAAATCACCTTAGTCTGCATTTTCAATGTTTTCAATATCAGACATCATGCACACACATCACCCGTCGGCTATATTTCAACAATTCCTTCTATTTTTTTTTCTAATAGATACGACTTTTTTTCAGGGATATTATGAATAAAACAATGACCAATATAAAAAGCGAATGCTGTGAATATGCATTTCACTAGATCATTAGGCCATACTTTACACGAGCAGGGCCGTGCATGTTGATGATTTATACCGTGTGCCGTCCATATATGATACTCTACTCCTATAAGCTGCTATAAATATAGAAGAAAATGGCCGACGATAATTGAATGTCGTTGATTAATCAATGTTAAATGACGCGTTACTGACGGAACGCTACAGATTAAGATGTAGGAACACACTAACGATGAAATATGGAACACTGTTCTTAAATGTTCACCAGACACGCATGACTCGCCTTGCACGATACCCGTCATCAGCACTGGACCAGGAGACGGAGACTTGGGAGTTCCACAAGCACGGAAATCCGCTCTTTGACGTGCATTACTAAATATGGACAAATTAATAAAGGTCTGCATTGAGCACGTGGGAAATAAAGCAGAATCCTTAATGTCACTGATCGTTATAACTAGACACATCTATCTTTGAACGACGAATTCTAATTTTAGAAAACTAAAGTACTTTCTTCCTAAATAGGTTGCCTCGGTGCGATCGAGCTGTATTCAAGTGTCCATTGTAGGCACATTTGTATGTATTGTTTGTAGAGATAGAGTGCAGATAAAACCATGCGTTAATATGTACACAAATATATATATGTATAATAGTAATCTGAAAATCCTCATGTTAGTCAAACATGAGAAAAGATGATACAATATTCTTATTCGTTGAAATAGATATCAATAAATGGGAAGTTGGACGCTGCACATCATCCACCAGACTGGTGCCTTGGTAAGAAAAGTACTATGTTGACATTGAAGTGTACAAAACATTGTTACACCTGTTGGTGTAGAAAGACAAATTACATTGATGTGATTTATCTAAAGTCTTATTCAATGTTTTTTTTTTTTTTTTAATTTCCTCCTAATTTGATACATAACTATTAGGAAAATGAAAAGAAAATATATTCACATTTGTAAGTTCTTCTTTTCTAATATTCACTTATAAATTCATGGTATTCATCGATTTTTACATATTTCACTAACTTACTCAAGGTCTTGTAATATATGTTACACGTCTCTGATATAACTTACTGGGTCATATCTGTTATGACCTATAAATTCTACAATTTTTACTCTTTCACATTAATTATTTATTCTACAATATTTGTTTATCTTTTTTTTTCAATATCTCTTATTGTAATGGGACAACATTACATTACTCTGTTAATTGAGTAAGTAAAATCCCATAAGCAGGATAGATATCCCTTTACGTGATATATATAGCTTGCTTACGGACTTAAACAATATTCACCTGATAATTTTGTAGTATTTGTTTAACAGCACCCATATAAAATCGTCAAATACTTCGATACCTGTACACGACAAGTTATTTACAGGTGAAAGTGCAGTAAGTGAAGAATATCACGATTACTTTGTTTGATTTAAACATATTTTATTGCCCAGAATAACAAAGGGATTGGGCACAGATTACTTTGTGCTGTATATTCATGGTGTATTTGTATCTCTGTAATGTAGGTTTCGTTTTTAATCAATACATTAGATATCCAAGTCATTAATCACATTTCAAATAGGTGATTTTTTATGTGATATAAAGAAACTTCATATATGAATTTTTATCATAATTAATATTATTAATTGATATTGTAACGACGTCAATTATCATATTTCATGGTGTAAAATATTGAAACGTAATTAACAAAATTGAAAATTTATGAAACATTGCCATAGTAATAAAATGGATGCAGAAAAAATGCATATTTATATTTACACAACAGAACCCTTGCCTACTGAAAATGTCTCATATGTATTGTACGTTTGTATCATAACCATATGTACGTTGTTGTATTTAGGTTACATTCTGTTCCTGTGAAACGACACACTAGTCTATCAAATAAATACAAAGAGTGCACATTTTGTTTATTTTGTTTTTTTTATTTGTCATAATGGAAAATTCTGATTTTTTTTCAATTATACATTATCATTCAATTAATTATACACGGCATAAAACAGCAAAATAGCTAACAATATTTTTTATGTCCACAATAGTGAAGAAATGTACAACATGGCCAAATCATACGATTCCTTAAAACTGATATAACTGAACAAAAACATTGTTGATTTTCAATTATCAAACCGGAGTTCTGATAAATAAATAATAAAACAGAATCATATTTGAATGGATGGGATTTGCGTTTGATTTTTGTCATGGATAAAAAATATTGCACATAAATTTGTTGTATTAAGAACATATTTTATAAATTGATGTAGTTGAAGTACAATCTTGACCATGCTAGACATACAACATTCCTCATACGAAAGCTGCGTAGTAAGTTCGCCAGTGCTGTCCGCCTTCGACATGGAATGTACCCTGACTGAGAACAAACTAATCTACTACTGTACATTGGATTTCAAGTAGATCCGTTCAAGGATAAATACATCTACAGAAGTATATTTGAAGGACGAGTTTGCCCTCCCGGTTTTTTACTCTCTTTAATGTACAACATTATTATTAAAAGGCACACATACAAAATTTCTGTGACACTTCCACCAATAACAAACGGGAGCGAGTAATCATCATGATGACGTCACTTCACTAATGGAAGTGAAATGCGTCATCGTGATGACGTCACTCTATATCTAGTCTAGCACTCGGGATATGCCTGATTCTTACAACACATTAAATTTTATATAACCGTAACCAGTTCAGACTTGTGGGACTAGAAAACGAGCTCAGTATAATTATAAATGTTATGTTAATCACTGTCTTTCTTCGGCACACCACTCTCTCAACCAACGATAATAAATAGAATATTTACAAGTGACATGAAATCTGAAAATGCAATGAAAACAATGGTCAGTTTACTTATATATATTGTTAATTGAAAAATTCTCCTCATTTTGAGCAAAAACACAATTCTGCACTTTAGCTGAACGCAGTCTATTAGTGTTAATGGTTAGCGGCCCAAATGTCGCGTGATCTAGCCATACTACAGTAATCCCATATTAGGCAACAGTTATTCAACCAATCCACACACAGTGTTTATTAGGACAAGCACCATTTAGTTGACGAAGTACAGGGCCAACAACAGTCCTTTACCATCCCTCTACAATAACACAAGAATTCAAAATGTGTTTTTTAAAGTCTGGAGTGATCGAGACCTACAGCAGTCCGCCATAGTCTATGAAACGTGAAATGCTGAGGTCGGGACGCGAGCTGACCCTCCTGTGTGGTTATGAGGCACCACTGGGTCGATTTACCCGAGAGAGTTCCTCCATGTCACCTTCACGACGACAACACATATCACTACCTAGATTTACTGTTCAAAGAAATCACGTTAAGGTGAGCGCTGGTGAAATCGGAGATCCGGATAGAGTCCAGCATTGTCATAATCCGTGGCAATAACAATATTTCTATGCAGTGGTAGTTCGTGACTGAGATCCTTCCACTGTAGATGAGACGTTCGCACGCATTCGAAACACCTATGTTGTCATTTCTCAGGATTAGATGAAACAGCTCTCGTATATTTTTTCTCGTTACCTCTCGTGAGCGAGGGTATCGTATGACAGACTGTGTTCTGTCCAAGGGAATTAGCTAGAGTGTTTCAGGCAAAAGAAAAAACGCACCGGTTCACGATCTAACGAACACACTTTCCCACTAGACCCTGACGCTCCAGCGTAGGCCTCTGGAGGCCGGAGCGCCGTCCATCCTGAGTACGCTATTATTGACCCCGGCCTGTGCTGACCGGAGTTTGCGCGTTATTGTTCACGTGCACTTATCGGCGGGTTTTTTACCGATCACCTTCACGCCATCGCGCCCACCATATTTGTTGTCGTGGATAAGTTTAATCCCGAGGAAAAGCCTGACGACGAAATGCTTGGAATACTTGAAAATGATGATGCAAAACTTGATGGTATGGATGATGAAAAGTTATTGAATCCTCCTCCAAGGCTACCATGTCCAATACCTCCTGCTCCCTGCATGTGAGACGATCCCGGGGAGATGTACGACCCTCCAAGCGACGAGCTACCGCCCATGTATGTTGGCATTGGGGCGTGCATAGCATTCATGTTGGGATGAAATCCACCGAAGGTTTTGTCGAGTGGTTTCAGGAAGTCGGCCATCTGCATACCTTTTCCCTTCTTCTTGCTTTTAGTTGACATCTTCCTGTTCCTCGTCTGAATACCATCTTTCTTCATAGTGAGCGGTCGGTTAACCTGTAAAGTATAAAACACACAAATCATTAGCTACTATGTCTGTGACTACCATCGCCCTATTCACAAGTGATATTTACCCATCTCATCTCTGGCTACATTTATGACGGTTTCCGTTACACAACGCTGAAGAACAATGACAAGTTTCATATAACACCGACAGAGTGTAACGCTAACCAGAACTATTCTACACCAAATCAATTTGCTTGTTTTATTTCCTGACAGCTCCGTTTGTTCGAACCATTTTTCAAAGAGTCAAACTGCCAACTCGGTCAGATTCTTCACATACAGCCCCACGGTAATTAAAACATATTTCTCGGCACTCCTGGCCAGCCCACATGTCGGACCTGTCGTCCAGTACTAGTACAATGCAGTTTTACGAACATTGAATCAGACTTATATTTTAGTTTTATTTGAAACTTGAAATCGTTACCAATTACGTCAGGAAAACGCTAATTTGTGGTTACTTTTGAAGACAATGACGTTTCACATAAACAAGGGAACAGTCAGGAGGATCTGAAGCGACGGGGGCCCGATGCCAGAACTACACTGAAAAATTACCCCGACATGCCTTTCTGAAATGTCTACAAAGGAACAAAAACATGGATACAATGTCAGGGCATCTCGTGGGGAGCATAAGGGGTGAGGGAGACACACGGTAAAGTATACCATGTCAGGGAGTTGTCACTTTGACTGGAAGATCTTTGGACTCTGTCGACTTGATGTAATGCGATTTGTCACATAGATTGTTAGTGGGGCAGTGACAACCCTCATCCGAGCCACACACGGAAAAAGTCTGTTCATTGAACCAGAAGGCTGATACAATGTCCCTAAACCAACATTTGCAGTAACTAAGCACAAAGCTGTCATGGGTAACTAGAGGCAAAACCCCGTCTTTGTACGAGATCCGCAGCCTAATTATCTTAAGTGATCATCATGTTAGCTGATTGCCCTCTGCTAACGTGTGGTCGGTGCGCGATTGTCGATGAGCAGCCATTTAGCTTTGTCAGGTAGCGCTACCTCATGGTGCGGTAATCAGGACAGTCCGGGTCGTGTTTATATCGGGTGGACAAAGGAAGGCAACACCAGATACCTAAATCGTTACTGACTGAATAGAAAATAAACGATCGCCATTTTCTGCCAAGAGACATCATTTTCCTTCCTCCTGTGGGAGCACAGATTGTCATTTTAATCCAGGTTTAATTTTTATTGCTGGAAAAATCACCGAGCTTTTAAGTTACCGTGCTATACATTCCTTTTGGTCATTTGCCTGAAGTTGCAAATATTCCATATGGAGAAGATCCTGATTGATTCTGAAGGGTAGAAATATTGGCATGATAGTTGGTTTTAATCCCCTGAACATAAAACCCTCGTCGTGACAAAGCCTGATATGTAAGTAATAGTAACATATCGCTGATGATCTAGACTGTGAATCGAAAACCAATCACCGACCGACTTAAAACCAAAGCTATGTCTGCATGTTAATGCGCTCTACCTTGCCAGTCACATTTGATAAATTATTTTTTTTCAGGAAAAGTCAATGGTTTTCCCTATAAGAATCAATACGAGTTGTATTGTTCCTACGGCCGCCGGTTATACACGGACCACGAGCAGTCAATTCTAACTGTAGTCTCAGTGTTACCTGTTGGTCGGACCGACATTTTTCACAATCATTATTCACAGACATGTGTAAGGCACGGGCCACAATTAATTTGCTTCCCAACCCCAAAGAGGATTGCCATGATATAATGGAGAAGAACCTTTCAACCACTGTAGCAATTATTTGTGCCAAGATAATAACGTACCGCTGAATCATAACCAGGGATTCGGTATTGTGAACTCGTAAATAAGGAATATTTATATAAGGATAGGGAAAATGTTTACAGATAAATGTTCTAGTTGAAAGCATGAGTTTCAAAACATTTGAATTTTTTCACTCTAGCCGTGTATATGTCGCCGGAGTCGAGACAGTGTCTGTCCCTATTCTGTCACAACTGTACTTTCTCTGCCGGTGGCCTCGTTATCGGGAACATCTCGAAATAAATCCAATGAGTTCGGAACCTTCTGACCGTGAAACCATGATGAGCTATAATTAGCAGAAACTAACTGATAACGTAATTAATAGCGAGCTTTTCCGTGAATAACTTTCTCTTCCACAATAGATTGATATAAGTTGAACATAATTATGTAAGAAACTAAAATTACCTGTTCAATGTGCCGAATTAAATGATCGACAAATTTGTTTTTAAAGTATAAAAGTGTTTTTGTTCCATGTATTACATTTAATTTCAGATCAATGGTAGATCGTGAATGCCGTGTTTCGGGAATGCATCGACAGTCTGGTAATGACAGACTGACACGAGATTTAAATCAGATCGGGTGTGTGACCTCCATATCGTGTAGTAAAACTGCAGATATATTGCATGGGAACGCTAGTTGTAAATTTAACTCGATTTTATTTCTCTATTTATAAAAGTAGAAAAAAAAACCCTCATCCGATACACAAAAATGCTTCTGTATGAAATTCCCACTCATAATAGAACGATGTAAACGGAGAGAAGTTTGCTTGTACATTTTCTGAAAAGCTATGCAAGTTATGTACTTCATGTCGCCACAGAGCTGAAACCGGAACTGCCGCAGTTGTTGGCCTTAGTGAACTCTTCAATGTAGAGAAATCAATACCGTTGTTTGAATTTAAAAGTAGACAAAACTGAAAAGGCAAGCTCTCGACAAAACTGGTTCGACTATTTAGTACTCTGTGACAGGTTGTATGAAGGGAAACTAATACCCCTAGGCTGTTGCTTTTCAAAAAAGGCCTCATCGTGTAATTATGTCATATTCCCTATAGAAGCTGATCACTAAGGCATGTTTGTAGTAAATATAATATTGCAATGATTGGGGTGGAAATAACTAGAACTCTTTCGAGAATAAAGGTACAAAGGTGATGTACACCAAGGGCAAATGAGAGCTCCCTTCTTAAATGGAGAAGAGACCGAAAATTGAAATCCAATCGACCATGTAAAATATTTATGTCGACTCCAAGGAGTCTGTTACTTTCTATCGTACATACTTATGTTGGAATTTTGTTCCTTTGATCCGGACCACGTTTTTAAAAGGTGGCGACTTTAACCTTCGGTACGGCATTTTTCTCTGTACTTATTTAATGAAATGAGATTTAACTCTATATATTACAAATCAAATACATTTAATTGTTGTGTCTGTTTCGCTTTCCATCCGACCTAAGGTCGAATAAACCCGCTACGCTATTGTCTGTCTCCATTCTCAGATCCTAGTGGTCACTTCCTATAGTCCGTCAGCCAGTCGTATATAACAGGTCTCGAGATATGTAGAAAATGGATAATGTTATACTTGTATATAGGCCCTAAATGTTAATGCGTTAATGGAACCTGCGCTATTAGAAACAATGAGATGCTCGCGTTTATAGCTCAGTGGAATGGCTACCAGACGTACGGCAATATGTGTGTTGATTATAAATGTTTACAACAACTGTTGCGGCACGTTCGAACCAATCAGAGCATGAGATTGCCATTTGCGAACGTCTATAAATCTATCGTGTCTTATATCTATCTGTATCAGTGTTGTGGTCGAATTACTTATCAGTTCTGTAAACAACCTTGGGATTCCACTAGTGTTACTCTTCCTGTTCAGAAATATAGATATAAATCATATTTGCTCATTTAACTTGCTCAGCCTGCCACTCTGTAGGCAGGTGAGTCGAGTCTCGGTAACACCGCTCTATCGTCCGTCCCTAGAGCCCACCAACCAACCCATCTGACCGATCATCGATCTCTATCTATTATTGATCTCATTCATTTTTAATTTTTACCTGCACCGTTTGTCTTACAAATGACTGGCGAGCTAGTGGTGGACGTTGATAATGAGGGGTATATATACTGATTGTTGGTATGTCTCAGTTGCCGTTGATTTCTGCTTTGTATTGTCAACACATCTGATTTGATTACTAAATGGGCTTTGTAGCCAGACGTACGAGACCAGGAAAACACAGTACAAGTTAACATAAAAAATGGATGTGTCTTATGTTTTCCTGTCATTTTATTTATTGATGTATTATGTTTTATGATTATGATCCGGCAGTCACCGATGTTAGAGGCGATAAGACTAGACATAACGATAACATTCTTTATACGGAATCTCACGATATTATCAATTAATACAAGTAAATTTCTTGCGATGTAACAGTCCATGTCTGAATTGCATGAAGCTTGTCTCTCCAGAGTTGTAAACTGTCCCCAACTCCTAGGTGAATTCAGGGGTAGTTTTCTACACAGAGCACAGAAGTCATTATCGAACAGATAGTTACAGCCAATAATGATGAATTACAGCGCTTTTTTAGGTCATGAATTTATTTTTGTTATTCATGCAAGGCCTTTTCAATGGTACAAGGCGGAGGCGAGGATCGACATAACCGTTCAATGAGTATACACGGAAATAAACAAATTAATATTTTCAATGCGTATACCGACACCAATACAAAAAAACTAGGAGCAAGTAAAATGGTTATTAATGAAATACGTACGTCGGTTAGACTGAACGCATGTAAAGGTATAGGAAGAATACATGAAAGCCCGTCTGTCACTAGTATCAACTTTGACAAGAAAATTGGTGCCCAGAGCCCGATCGACTGAGGAATGGCGCTCGGTCCGTGAAATACATGGTAGAGACACGCTATGTCTCTTTAGAAACATAATGCTAGAGAAATCTTAGCTCGCAGCGAAACTTTGGAAAGTTTACTGGTTGTCGACATAGCTAACGACAAAAGTTAATGGTAATGGGGATATGCTTTGAAACAGGAGGGACCGAAAGTGCCAGGTACGGCAGAATGACTTCATGGCCGCACTGTCACGCCCGATTACGCGCGGAAAATAGCGACACCACTTTCATCTACAACGTTGTAGTAACCTCCTAGTTTTCGAATCTTTGCCCACGTGAAAGTGTGAGCTGTTAATGGGACAGGGGCCGGAGCTGAGTACAAATCCTTTGTTCGTCATAGTAGTGTAAAATTGAAAGTCAACCCAAGATAAACACACTTTTTTGCTCCAATGAACTTTACAAAATTGCGAAATGATATTATCAAAATTGAAATCTTGAATCAAAATTTTTCGATAGTTGATCAGCCAATAATATGAGTAAAAAATTCTTTGTATTTTTTTAATGAAATACGATTAATTTAAAAGCTATGTACCACAGATATTCCGATAAAATTGCTTCGAGATTTTTTTTAAAATTGTAAGCAGTATTTTTTCGAATTTTATGACAAGTGACAGTAATCATTGTTCATGAATGAGCGAGCAAGATGTATACTTTTCATATTTCTTATATCCTAATGTGTGTTTTGTATTCTCCCCGCGAAATATTTACAGTGTTAAATGCACAAACCATATACCTTAAAATTTGTGAATCCCTAATACCTAACTGAATTGCGTACTGCCAAGTCGTTAGGTGTATTGCTGATATCTATCTAATGGATTTTAGTAGAAAATATCTATATGGTGTTCAGAAAAAATATATACAATATTTATAATACTTCAAATTGCCAAAAATGACCTATTTTTATTACATACCCGATCAGTATACAATAATAATTTTCTAAATAATTTATAATTATAAATAAATTACAAAATGAGTTATGATGACAAATAAATTAGCATATGTATTTAAAAGAAAATTGGATTAATTGATAAAAATGTTTGTTTCCTTAGCATGACGTTAGGTATGTATTCTACGCCATGAAACAAAGTAAAAACCTGGAACCAGTCAAGCGCACAATAGAACTGGACGTGTATGACATATCTGGATCTTTTCAAACAAACAAGATTACATATTTCTGGAGGCCAGTCTGATGGCGAGGCTGATAAGTGACCGATGGTCAGTATCAACCCTGCAGGAACTGACCACAGAACACCAGACGTTTGACTCACCGACGAATTTGAGCGATAAAACAAAAACCTTGAGCCATGCACAGCTGTAGATTATACAATACAACCCTTGCTTTTGTCAACTTCGATTATGTCTCAGTTTTGGATGAAGCCCTGAAGCAATGAGTAAGGCCTTATAGGCTCGTGTAGGATTGTCGGATACACACCCTAAACATGTATTGCCGCCTTCCAACCCTTTCTGCCAATTTAACACCCACCACTTCCTAATTCAAGAATGCCTTCTGATTTTGGCAATTTGACTCAGTTGCGAACTTGGTCCGAAACACCAATTTATACCACTAGAATATTGGAATACAGTTTTAGAAATTATAAGCCCTTATTAAAGGTTAGACTTACGTTGTGGAGTTTGTAGTAAAGACCACATGCGTTGCACACTGGATCACCATTGGCGTTACGTCGCCACAACGTCGTTGTTGACGTTCCACAATTGGCGCAACTTGTTCCTGCTCTTCGAGCTGCGGACTGTAACAGAAAACATCAAATCACCATTATGATAATAACACATCAGTACCCGTTTGATCTATCACAAAAAAATATTTGAAAACATGGCTGTGGCGACGACAATGTGTAGAAATAAAGATAGATTTTGTCGATAAACACTTCACACATTTAGAGACATCAGCAGCCGGATGATTCATTAAAATGTATAGATACTATCATAGATTTGTATTTCAAATACATGGATGATGACAAAAATTGTGGAAATAAAACAGATCAGCTGTATACAGTTATATTTTATGAATCACTGTGTTGGTGTATAGGGAGGACTAGTACAATCTGTTCCTAATAGGTTTGCTCCCAACGTTAGGACTTCACATCTGTTACAAACAAACATCAACATTTTATAACGATCGGGTCGATTTGTCTAATGAACGGTGGTGATAGCAAGGTTTAAGTCCGATAGAGAGAGAGATGCGAGTCGGGTTTATTATTATAGAGCAGTAGACATAGCGGATCTGGATCTAAGTTTACACACAAAGTCCCTGCCTCGCGGATAGCAATGTCGTGTTAGTTTATACAGTACAAAATAACAAGAAAATAAGGAAACTCAGTGTGGCCGAGTTATCCCACGGCTATACATTCTGTATGTATGTATACAATACAGCGTGGTATATTGGATATATCCGTTTCAATGTACATTTCAGAGAGAGTCAATGATCTGTAACAGCGAGCTCTACCCCTTTAGCTACAACATATCACTAAAATCACTACTCCGCCTTGCTGACACTCATGGCGCCCCTAATGCTGTTTCGAGAAAGACATGAGCACCCTCCGGGCCCACTGTGTGACAGAGTATAAAAAAATTTAATATTTGAATTTCGTATGTAAAATGATAGTAAAATGTATACAACCTTCAAACCACTCGGCGCCTTTTACCTGTACATGGCTTTTAACAAAAGAAGACGGAAACCGCACGCCTTCTTACCCTCGCTTGACATATAACTATACAAAACCCATCTTACGCACACGCTCGGATCTTTGTTTTGTGACGGAAGAAGACAATTCTTGACAGTGACCTGTCTGGCCTATGCTCACATCAGTAATGCGGCGTAATATGAGTGGAGTGCTACCGGGTAGGGTGCACGCTGTACGGAGGCGCATCACAAAGAACGAATTGTTTCAAACCAAAATATTTTTGTTAAAGCAACAAGAAGACAAACACTATTCATTTCGTTAAATTGGCAAATTCCCACCGGTAAAGGAGAGGTAAACTGTTTGGGGCTATAACCGGCTACACACAGCTATTATACCTTGTTTCCAAAGTGTCAATGTATTCTGTTAAATGCCTGTTTATCAAGTTCAACTTCTTCAGGGCTTTATGAACGCTGTATTCCATACACGGCGTGTTTAACAAACTAATATTGTAGAAGGGCATTATTCCGTCTTGGAGCCTGCACAAACTGATCAGAGCGTTTTATAATAGCCTAAGGCCGAAAGTAGTGAAAGGATAATTAATAGTTTCCACTTTTCTAAAGTATTAAGATTTCCCAAATCAAACACACATATATATAATAAATATAATATTTTAACTTCAGGATAAAAAATAAATACCGACTTGAAATAAAATTTATTGCACGTCAGACCAAAATTTTTGGTATGTTTTATGAAGAATTAATTAATACAAAAAATTGTAATTTTGCGTTTTAGAATAGATGTTATCACTTTTTCTTTATTATTTTTATGTGTTGTGTTATGCCATAGTGTTGACGTTTTCTTATTAGCTCCGATTGAAGACCTCATCAAATATACCACCCACGGGCTTACAGCGATAACTAAGGACGATGATAGAAAATCATATGATTAGATTTCAATCGAGGTGTAATCAAAACGATAATTTAATACCAAATTGTTCAAATCGTCAATTAACAATCTAAAATCGAAAAATATCAACGACAAATTGTACGATTGTCCGTTCCTGACAGCTCCGAGACGATACCGTTGTGTAAGTTTAAATTACAGTTTGCCTCATAGACAGATCTCAATTATTCGATTTGACCAAATCAGATGGCACGGCTCATAGGTTGCTTGGAACCTCATCTACATTTTTGTTTAAATTGAACGAACAAACAAACATTTGTATTCGTTCTTAAACATTGATCACTGGAGCTGAAAATCGTGGTGTGTTTCTTAGTTAGATTTAGTTGATATTATTTAGTCCATATCTAAATTGGGACAAGATAAGACGTCTATGATGACATAATTTACTTCAAACAAGCTCGAGCGAGTGCTTTGTCTGACGTCACGAGAAAACGTCACGGCTCATGGCGTGTCGTTGTACTGTTTCAGTATTTTCTAATGGATATTTTGTGATATATACAACCCTAGTATCTTCTTTCTTTTGAATGTATCAAAATGTCCCACTAGATAAAACGATATGATTTGGGCCTTAAACTGCCACCTTATCGTATCTATCTGATTGTTTAAAGTCGACCGTACACATGAAGTCTACTTCTCCATTTCTTATCGCCCAATCTTGCACCTCCAATCTCGAATCTAGATCGGTAAATATGCCATCTTTGGTCTCTGCTAAAGAGATCGTGTACAAAGCCGTTGTTCTAGCTGATCAAATTGGAACAATAGCATTCAATACTGTATTTGCTCAACGTTGAATCTAAAGAAAATTGACTATAGGTGATCAAATGTATATCGGTTGTCTTGTTTTAAACATATTATCTCTTAGGAATAAAATGCCCGACATTTAACCCGTCGAACGGAACAAAATATTTATTTCTATTGTTTTTAAATATTTCTTTGTTTCGTTTCGCTGTGATCATATTAGAGATAAATTTTAAGGTTCATACACGATGTTGTTTGTTCCTTACTGTGATATTTATCTAGAAAGACAAACAAATGTGCTTCGCCATGGCACTAGGTTGGCATATTGGTCGGGGCCACGTTACAATACGTATACGGTTTTATAAATCATAACCTGAGGCCTTATAATTTGAACTCTGTCTGTTGAGAAATTAAAAAGAGACGATGCATTCCCTGCCCAAGGGTTGATCAGATACGATACAGATGTGTACACCAACATAACGAAACACTACTCTGCCTCAAGGACAATAGTCACCAACTTTTAAATTCAGTTCTTTGATTTTTTCCGACTTTTTGAGAGAAATACAAAGAATCAAAGATTCACCCTGAATGTATAGTTAAAATATATTGTAGCATATATCACAGAGATATTTTTTGTTATGTCACAAGAAAGACGCGAATATTGACACCTAACCAGGCACTGATACTATCGTGCAGGTCAACATGACATACTTTATTGATATATAAATATTTGATAAGATGTTTAAGATAAAGCTGAGCCATGTTATTATTGCATATCATGAATTATTTTCATCTTTTTTTTTCTTTCTTAATGGTTTGCAGCGCAATATTTTATTTTATAATTTTCCTATCTTATGAAATAAAAATAGAGTTTACACAAACACTCGAAGACCAAAAAATTTAGAGTCGGTAATTTTTAACTCTGGCTGAATTATTCACAACTGAGCTTTACGTGTTGTTGATAATAACGTATTGAATGGTTTGATATGGAAAATAAAAAAATATATATTTCGTCTATGACAGTTTAAATATTCATATTGTTTCCGTCCATACAACCGTCGTACAATGAATCGGCCTTTTCAAACACTTGTTATTGGAGTAACAACTACATTATCACTTAATAACATGCACCACATCATTCTTAAAATACATATCGATAAATTATTCATTTAATAGATTTTTTTAGAGACAAGAAAAATATTATTACGTTCATACATCAGGGGCAGGTTTAGCTATAATCATATATATGTTTCATATATATGCCTGGCAACAACCTGAGGATTTGAGTGATGCTCTCCTATGTCGCTGTGGCATGTTATGAATCTTGGGGAGTGTTGGGGCCGGTGCCAACCAGCTCAGCTTCCATTTGAGATAAATAGTTTCTACTTATGAAGGAAATAGAGGCAAAGTCTATTAAATACTTCCGAGACGGGGATTTGAGTGGGTACGTGTAAACAGCTGGTCAAAGAAATCAAACAGTCATGTATTTGTAAACTTGACCAGTTCATCCGGAGGTATCACTGCATTAGAAAACTTGTGGAAGAATTTATATGCCGATGTTAACGTGTTGACGATGGGGGAGTTGTTTAACACAATTAGTTAGCGATTAGTGTGTATGTACATGTGAATTATCTTTCGTATGACCGATTCAGTGGAATTCAATTACTTTATAAAAACGGTATGAATTTATATCAAGTTTTCATTGTACGATAGTGTGTAGACACGCCTTCTACCAGCGAGCTGGGTCGAGAGATTAAATACACCTTAGACCACCTCCATTGACAACTACCGAGAGAACACGTCTTAAGGACTCGATTTATTTGTGTTATCACATCAAACCAAACAAATTGAACCTACAGCCGTATTAAGAGTTCCGTTTACTGTTGTATCTCCTCACTAATCCTTATATCAATACAATCTATACATTCTCCGTAACACTCTTCATGGCACGTGCCGTTTAGCTACCGTTATCGCATTCAAAAGAAATTTAAATAAGTGTTAAAATATATATTGTTAAGAAATAAACTTCTGGTCGATAAGAAAAGGGGAACCGATATAGGATTATTGTATCTATATATAGAAAGTTAACAAGTGTCCGTTGATATGACTGTAATGTCCAGCATTATTATCATTTCGTCTAAATCTGACCAGAGGTCATCATATATATATATTTCGCTTTTTTATAACACAGCAAGTTTTCTTGTAACCCTAAAGCCAAACAGAGTGTGTTGAAGTAAATCCGACTTTTGGTCGGCGCCAGGACTAGAGTCCTAGACAGGAGCGCCCACCCACCGCTGTTTTCGTGTAAAGGCCCTGCTGTCACGAAAAGGGAATTCCTCAGTCAACCAAGCAAAAAGCACAGACGCCTGTGTACCTATTACTACGTGTTATACAGCCTACTACATCCAAATCCCCTTTCTCTTTCATACATGTCCTTCGCTTCCCCTGACTCCCCTACACAAACATTTCCAAATATTTTTTTCTTGATTTCTCTCAAAGTAAAAATGTAGCAGGAGACATGAGAACTTTCTTTTCATTTTTATCAGATTAAAAGAAAACAGTGCTTATCTTTAACGAAATATTTATGAAGAAATGGCTAATGTTGGGCTGTTGATTGATCGATCAGCCGTATGTAAATTCTCCTGTTAGTCTTGACGATTTGTTCAACGAATGGGGCGTTTTTCGACATGCATATCTCGACAAGGAATAAACTCGAGTGAAAATAAACATATTGCTTTCTAGCTGACAGGGTGTTAAAAGCTGTGGGGAATATAGGATGTCTCGCCGTTATAAAGTTACACCCCAGTGTCTCTGAAACCACAAACGCTGACACACATTGCGTTAGAAACACACATGCAATTGATTAGACCCAACGTTCCAAAACGGAAAAATGATAACGTCAAGTAACGTAAATGACGTCATAATAAAAAAAATTCGATCGCGCTATAATTGCAAGTGTGAAAATGTTTTTTTTTAATGTTTGTTAGATGGTCTCGCTTGCATGCGTGTTATTACTCGAGGGAAATACTTTGTTGTAGCATATTCATTAAAATTCTAGTTCCCGTTGTCGTCCGGGTTCCACTTGCATGGTTTACTGTATCCGGTAGTATTACAGTGTACCTCGACAGCGGGACGTGTCCTCAAAGAGAATGCGTAACAGTATTTCCTAGTTATGATTTTTCTAACAATTGCTACGGTATATGAATTTGAGCCAGGGATATATGAACTAGGAACGTATAAATCAATGTTTTATACTCTAATCATTAAATTTACATGAAGTATACATAAGCCCTCCAAAAAATGTATTATTAGGTCTCGTAGCTAAAATATTTCCAAACTCTCTACTGATATTGACGTAATTAGCGTTATATTCGGACAACAATTAATTTAAAGCCCATGAAAAATAACTCGGTTTTTGAACTAGAATAACCGCAGGGGAAATGATAAAATTGCTGATGAATAAAAATAAGTGTTATTTCAGTCATCATGATGTTGAGTGTATCCTGGATGTGTGTGCATGTGTGCAAGTTTATAATAATTAATAAATTACTCACCAGACGTCGCTTCGGTTTGATGAGGGGTCGGTTTTGACCGTTCATTTTATGGTAGAGACCGCAGGCGTTACACAAGTAATGCCCCGTTCCGTCCCTCCGCCAAAGAGGCGTGGATGTAGCCCCACAGTTGACGCACTCTCTTCCTTCTGAAACAAATACTGAAAAAGGTAAAACCTCTGTAATTGGGTATATCAACAAGCCAGTAAACATTGTAAATAAAAGACAGATAGTTTGACAACGTTGTAGTACATAAACGATTTTATCAGAGAAATAACTGCTCGTTTTTCATTATGACAAAGTGTTCAGTACTTGAGAGTGTCGGTAAATGTACATGTAAAATATAGAAGCAGTTTGTATATAATCATGAGTGTATTCATTTAATTGCTGTGCTCATAAGGAGGCAAGCTATCATATGGCTCACGTAACCAGTCATAAGTACTTTACTGAGCGGAGCCGGATGGCGGGTCCGGATTGTATTAGGGTGGCCAGGTCTGGCCGTCTTGACAGCCACCTGTCGCCAGTAGTACTTGACCCACAGAGCACTAACACAAACTCATACATTTCTTTTTCTACTCTCCCTAATTAGCAGGCCCATAGTTATAAGCCTCACGGCTCGACCACTATGTTGAATTTTCAACTTTTTTTTTTGAAAAGTGAAGGTGTCACACCCAACCGCGCACTGAGGCACGGGTCAGACGATGAGGCACGGGCTCTATGGGAAGTGAATTCAGGACATGGGCACCTACTGTGACCAGAGTCAGTGAACATAAATCTACTACTATTATAAGATTAGTAAAAATATCTATAAATAATTCTAAATATTCATTAGAGCAAGTGTTTCCCATTCAATAAAGAAGCAGTAGTAAACAGGTGTTTTTAATAATACTTTTAAAACCTGGCGAGACTCCTCTTTAGTAGAATTTAAGAGTTATTTGTTTAATCTGTGCATGGTTGAATTACCCTACAGCGAGCGCAATACATTTATGATTTATGAAAGAATTAAGGGCATATATCACATCATAAGATATGTTGACATAATTCATTTTCCCATTCAAGAAAAAAAAATGAATTGCATAAACGCCTATTTAACCAGAGTAACTAGCATATCGGCCAATTAGTAAATGATGTATGAGAGGAGCACTCTCAGCACTTTTAGGAATTTCACCTTTTCATTGCACAAAATTCGTCCTTTATCCTCTTTTCATTAGATTAAATAAATTCGCCTATTCGTTAAATAGAAACACAAGTTCATCGTGTTTACTGCAACAGAATACACAAATGCCAACGAAAACGCCCGCGTGTATCTTGTGCATATTTGAAAACGTGTATTGATTGAAACACTTTTAACACATTGTCTCCATATACTTATATTTCATTTTTACATAAAACGCTTATTTGTAGAATTTTCCGAAGACAAACCCAAAAAGCCATTGACAGTTAGAAAACTGAGGTGTGTCTATCGTTTACACTATTTGTAGGGAATATATTTCTGTACTGTGAACGCCTGGGATTCATAATTATTGATTCTAAACTTAAATTTCAAAGAAACATCGGATTCAGCAGATGCGTCAACGCCTTGTGAGAATTGGAAGCGTAATGATGGGTTCCTATTAATAATTAAAAATGTTGTCCTAAGAACAGGATTTGCTGCTGACTAAAGACAAGGAGTGTAAGGGCGCCTGTCCATGTCAGTTCAACTCTGAACTACTCAATACATTTTAACACCCCCCCCCCCCCCTCCCTTGTAATTGGCCTTTACTAGACAAGGGTGGAATCATATTAACCTGGTCGAAATCAAAATAATTTTTCTAAAAAAGATTTTATCAATTTCGATAAATACAATAAAATATCTTCGGGTTATGATATGTAATTTTATAATTGTTATCCGAAAACAGATGTATATCGGGCATGTCTTGCAGGAGTGGCCACTTGATGCTGTCAGTAATATGCTAACTGGGGATTCTTCTTAACATTTCTACACATGTTAATCAATTAACAGGCCACTTATGCGTTATGAGGCGAAATCTGACTAAGTATATCTCGCCTTCACAAGCACATTCATTTGTAAACACGGTTTTCTCCTTTATTCATAATTAGAAACAGACTTCACGCTAACGGGCAACATATGCTTTTTATAAAACCACCACCATGATATTTCATAATGTACCTGATGCTGGATGGTGGTTATGCTAAAACAATCATTTGAAATAAAGTTGGATACTAAAACAGTGCCACGCCCGCTAAAGAACTCCTATGATCGACTGTTTGAAATATGACTAGCTGTGGGAATTCAATTAAAATTTTAAAGAATAATCACATTTGAATTGCATTTGTTATTGTTGATGTGATTAAAATTTATTTCACATTCATGGTTATAATAAAAAGAATATTATTATATATAGATGTAAAATATATATATATATATATTTTTTTTACGTCTATATATATATTTTCAGATCGCGTTATCTGATATAGTTGTACTACATCGGCCAAGGTTTATACTATTTATCAAACCGACTACCGGTCGCTCCGTATGTCATCCGGACAACCCGGAACACCTCGAGTGTTGTCAACAATGTTTAGATCAAGGACTTTAATACCAAGTAAAAGTAACAGGAAATTTTCTAAGCTTTATCTGATGCACCACTAAATAAGACGTCCTTCCAGATTGAATCAAAGTCTAAATTATTTCCAAAATACAACAGTCACATGTTATAAATACTTTAAACTGTCAGAATTATTCTTTTGTCCTACTATATATGTATGAATGTATCTGTAGATTATTGCTACAGCTTTCTTTAATGATCTGTTGTCGCATGTACTGTTGTAAAGCAGACATTTATTACCAGTATGGCTATAAAAAATCTTAGTTCATTTTTATACATTTAATTTAACGTGTTTCTATGAATATAAAACACGATAAAAATAATCATATGTCCCTGAGATCGAAATAAAAAAAATGCATCGATAACCTTCCTAAATATACTACATAAACGATATTTTTTCCATACCAAATATGAAAGGAAATCTGAAAATATAAGTATAGTTACCTGCACTTGATCTTGTCTTTGTGCGGGGTCGGGATAGTGCAGAGGTGGCTTTAAAAACACTGGCTGCGTGGAAACCGAGGGGGCCGCTGGGGTATTCCGAGCTCCCGAAGGAGGGGTACGTGGGGACTGGGTGTGCGGTGTGGCTTCCCCCGTGACTACCAAAGAAGGAAGAGCCATTTTCCTGGGAGTCGTGTTTTTGTGACGGTTTGTTTTCCGGGGTGTATTCTGTAGATGTGGCAACATTTTCAGGAGTACCGTCTTTGGGTGGAGTAGGTGGGAAGTTGAAGGAACTGGAAGCGTTTGAGGTAGCCGGGTGAACAGAGAGGGGCGCGGCCGGATTTGGGTGTGAGAGTGACTTGCCAGCGAAGGGACTCATCCACTGATGGGCGGCGTGGGGGACCATGGATTTACTGTCAGTTAACCAGCTGTGGAGGGGGTTGTGGAAATGTGGTCTGCACACCTGACTCCCACCTGTAACTGATCAAAACAAAAATATTAACATCTTTCTTGATTTACATATTAAATGGTAAACAATTGCGTGTACTTATAGATTTTTGTAATCCTAGCCATATTTTTATTCGAAACATCAATATGGCTTTGTAAAGATATAGCTGGTAATTATGCGAACGCTTTGAAATGATACATTTAACATGACAATGTATTTTTAAAAATTTTATTACATTTCAAATGAGGCTGAACTCATATATGAGATGACCCTTCAAACCCATTTCTCAAACATGAATTACACTTGTTAAATACTACAATACAACATTTTCCATCTAGCGTCTGCAATACTGATGTAATATAAATCCAATTGAAAAAGCTATAAATTTAATTCGGGATAGTAATTTCGTGTCTCCGTAAGGTGTAATGATATTTTTTCTTTTTTATATTGTATTATATGGTTCTATCTCTGATTCATTAAGTCTTTTTTTATTATAAAATCAAATAATATTTAGATTTTTCCTAGAATTATCTAAAAGTGATACAATGACAGCAAACACTCTATGGAATTTAAAACAAACATATATCAAGCATTTAAGGTATTTTAGTGTTATTGGGTTTTTGTCAATTAATGTTATTTTACCCTGTTACATTGTTGCATGGCGTGGGGATATATGTAATACATATTGAGATAAAACATGTTGATTTTTATTTTAAAAATTGATTCGAGTGGAAGAAGCCATGAATGTGGAAACAAATCATTTATATTCTAGCCTAGAATTAATTTAGTTGTAAATGTTGTTTTATTTCTATCATTATTTTGTTTGTACAATTGTAAAAATTCAAATTATTCCGTCTGTTAGCTTTGAAGTGTGGCGTGTCTGAGGGATATCAAACTTTTCTATCAATACTGATTGTTTGTACATGGTAGCAAATTTGTTTCTGTGAATATTATGAAAATATTTATTGAATTCGAGATAGCTTATTTCGACATTAACCGTGTGATAAGGTACATGTACACATGCCTATATTCATTTTTCACTGACACAAAACTTTTCCCCAAAAATATGATTAATATTTATGATTTTTATATCACAAAAATATTTATCCTTAGAGTGTTTAGACAAGTTCTCCAACTAAATTAATTGGTAAGAGTCATATTTCGCACTTACATGAAAAATGTGGCATTTTTGAGATTTTTCATTTTTGACCTACATGGGGAGTGTAAAAGGGGGACTTGACGGATAAATCCCACGCTCCATGACTTGGTTTTAGGTTTCATGTTCATTTTCTACAGAAGCGCATATCATGGTGCTGTTGTGTGTTTTTCCCTTTCAATTGGTACAAGACAAGCGAGAAGGCAGCTTGAGAAATGTAGTGGAAAAGTAGGAACACATTTCTACTGTAGGATTTCTACCTTTAAATTGAGGCAAATTGTCTTTCAATTAAATTAATTGGCGGGTAATTAGAATCAGAAGAGGGTCTGGATTAAAGGAGGGAGTACCAGACGGGTTTGTACCGTGGTCAGGGCCCGATATAGGGAGCTGGGACGAGACAGGCCGGGGACGGGGTTAATTGGCCCGCCCATGGGGAGATTGCTGGGTCCCAGGGAGTCAGGAGAAACCAGCATACAGCGGGGGTCCAATTGGGCACTATAAACCCATCGCTTCGCTGCTGAAACAGTCAAAACTTTCACAACCTACAGTAATTTGTGACAGCGTCTAAAAACGTTTGGCAGCAAAAACATCTGGAATTCCGGAGAGTGTAATTAATAAACTAATTCTAATACATCGAAAGGGGCTACGAAAATGACAGCAAAACTTGGTAGTTTTATATATAGTTCGTTTTGATTTAGAACAGCAGTGAAATCAACAGACACCAAATATATTTCTCCGCGGAAAATGTTTTATATGAACGAGGGGAAAACGTCGCCGTGAATATTGAGGAATTCATAATTGACCCCTTTATATGTCAATTGTTTTAAAGGCAGCTATATTTATATAGACGTATTTAATTTGCCGTGTAAAACAATCTGAGAGTAATTGTCGGAGAAATTGAAAATGAAACGGTATCCCATGCTCCTGACGGGGCAGTTAGTGAGCGTATACTTAGAAGTCAGAAGCTGAAACAGTTGTGCTGACAATATACACCCTGGTGACGCCGGACTGCAAATTATCACATACTTCCTCGACAGAAAATAGGCAACGAATTAACACAATTATCTTAGGCAGCGATTTTCTCTTTTTTGGTGCTAAACCAACACATTTTGTGAAAATGTCAGTTGTTTTAAAGTTTTAAAAATCATTGACAGTGATTTCTAAATAACTTTTATTGAAAAATTATTTTGTACATTATAAAATCTAAATGATATTTATATTTCTTCCAATGACAATTTACTTGTATTACAAACAAATGCCCCTTGTAATTGTTTCCTTTATTTTTGTCTCCTTTACTTCATAACTTAATTTTAACCGAAAAATATGTTGTTTATTAAGCTTACATAATTTTTATAGTCTTGTAAAATGATAAGTTTTTTTGCCGTGAAATCAAGTGAAGTTAATTGGTAGGTAGCTTCTGGTTGGATTTTAAACAATTACACGTTTTATTCTTCATAGAGAAGTTTACGCTTGAAACAAAAATTACTATTGATCATGCTATATTGAAATTAGAGACCTACCGTATATACAAGAAAAAGAGAATTATATAGCAGTCGACCGATCGTTTACACTTGTAGGACTTCTGGAGACTACTGTAAGAGTTCAGACTAATACATGGACCAGATCCTGTTCAATAGCTTCCGTTTTTCAACAGTCTCTTCACCCGAAATTGGACACAAGTGAAGTAGGACTTGTCACCAGAATTATAGAAGTCTTGAACACCGTATAATGTCAAAATGATTCAGAAATACATCCTAACATTTTGTATATCTAAATATCAAAAGTCACCTGTCTGAGAGAATGTCTGTATGTTTTTATGTCGGAGACAGGTAAAAGTCTCTGTGACTATACTGCAATCCGATTTAGTATTTGTTTTTCTTTCCGCGATTTGTTAAAAAGAGATTATACTTTAATTCCTACACCGCTGGTTTAACTCGCTTCAATTACAATATATCATAGGAATATTTCTACCGTGAAACGAGACACAAAAATGTAAATGTTTACGTTTTCGAAACTAACTGGCAGACCAAGGATAAACTACAGTTCTCTAGAGGGAGACACCGAGCTGGGTATAACATGGGTGTATGTGTGTATATATAAATAAATAATACAAAAATGAAAGATATATATTTCGAAAATACTGTATATATTGTGTTCATTGACACATTTATAATATATGTAACCAAGAGAAGAATTTAGGTTTCAATTTCAAATTAAATGAAAATTTGTATATAGTCACTTATAGCAATAATTTCCTTAACTTTCCTGTAAATTTCTAAAATCGTCCACAACAGGTAGACTTCCTTAAGCTGATCAATTTAATATTTTACTGAAACATGAAGATCTTTGTTGTGTGTCGGGTTCTTTATAAAAGACATCTGTTTACTTAATGAATTATTCAGAAATTATAAACTGTTATTTATCGCATTTTTTATGTCCTGTTAATTTCTATTTATTAAGATATTACAACAATTTTATGTGGAATTTCTTACCATGAGAAGGTCGGTATCCCATCGCCCGGGGGTTGGGGTAATACCCCGCAGGGTTCATGTGACCCCCGTTAGAGTCCAAAAAATGGGGGGTGAACATGTCCCCAATATCTTCTGATGGCAGCAATCCGGAGGTGTTCTCGGGATAGTTCCGTGGGGCCTCGGGCCCTCGCAACCAGGAGGCAGCGTGTTGTTCACTGGTTACCTCCATCGTAAATAGACACAGTTAAGTCACAACAACTGGTGAAAATTTACTCTCAAGTCCCGATCGCTTATCTCCCGAAATGGTCGGATGAAGATTTGAGTAGCCGTGTAAAATCCAACGAGGATCTGTATAATAGGGAGTTCTCCCGTGGTCTGTCCAATATTTCGTTATCACCAACTAGTTTATCTGCAATAAAATACAATAATTTCAATGACAATATATAATATTATCACAGAGTCATCATACCGGTTAACACACGCCGTAAATTCCAACCTCATAAGAAAAATAAACAAACATTTTTTATCCCTAAATTCTTAAAAGTAAACAATTTTATAATCACTCATTACGCATGCAAGATAAAAAATAGAATAGTAAAATTATCCAAAAAATCCTATTTTTATCTGAAATCGTCAATGTAGCGGTACCGTTGGGTAGGCCCCCGTTATAACAGTAGCAGATAACATGGTGATGATAACACTCAATGACGGTTCACGGATAATGTTGTATGTATCAGTGATTGTATGATAAACATATAGCCGAACCACGTGCTGTATGTATACATACATACATACGTATACCTAGGGATTAATAAAACACTGTGATAAAAGTAAATATATAGATCTAAATACGCACATTTTCAAAAGCTCAAAACTATATGAACAATGTAAGTTTTCCAATGCGCTGCACCATGCTGTATACAAGATATGTATCATCCGCTTGCTCGACAAGTCCTGTATGTATAAATAGTAGTTTTGTCCGCTCAACAGCGATGTTAAATGTGATCCGCATACGAGTAAACGTTGTTTCATGAGTAGATTCGCAACATATTCAATTGTACGACGCCGGTCATTACACCAAGGAGAGACCGCTGTGGCGCGACAACTGTATCGTTTGGCCAATCACAGCTCACGTTTCATTGTTGCGGTTGACGTATGCTGAAACTCCGCCCTAAGCCACGCCCTTAAGCTGCGACACACGGTACACATGAGTGCATGTATAGAATTTTGTTTGCCAATCAAATAAATGGTACGGCTCTATTGCAAGACGCCTTCCTCTTTAACAACTTCTGGGCGGAGTTTTATTTACAATAAACATAAGAGTGTATTTCAGTCAGACCAATCATTACACAGGGAAAAGAAACAGTTACACACGCCCATAATCATGTTGAAGCATTATGAATAGTTCAACTTTTTATTTCAAGTGAATGATTTGAAATGCTAATGTCAACTTGTTTTTGTACGTAAAATGACTTGAGATGGAAAATAAACGCGTACAAGGGAAACAGAGCGCTAAGCTCGCGTCCACCCTCCGTTGAATAATTACAAAAGAGGGGCCAGTTTTAGCTCTTACCGGCGCGGTCCTCGCCTGTTATCACTGATGATAAGCCTCAAAAACAGATCATTATTTGCCATCTTTCACGGCGCCCCTCCCGGATATCGAAAATTTATATACTAAGGAACTCACCATTTTAACAATACCACTCCATCACATCGTACGTCAGAGTCTAGTAAATATGATAAAAAAACCCCAAAAAATAAATCAATGAGCTTAGGTTTTTAGAAGGCAAAACGTCACTTAAGTTTTCCTGTACTTAGTGTACAGTGACAGACTAGAATGCATTTTGTTTACTATTAGGTTTTATTGCACAGAATGCACTGTTTCACCACCAGCGTTCTGTCCATCTGTGACTTATGTATGATGGACCCCTACACAGAAATAAATTTCACATTTCTCTAGCCTTTCATCTTCTAGTCATATGAGAAAAACACACTGACACACGAAACAAAGCTGTTCATTAATAACGAAACAGTTTCCCGGTCTATCAACAGAATAACAATCACTCTGGCACGGCTTAATGGACTTACAAAAGCAAAAACAAAAAAGAAATAGCAAAATTGAACAAAATGCCGAATATTTAAAGATTAATGCACACTTTATGTGATAGAAATAATGATAATGCTCAAAGTAATAAAAAGTCATTTAAAATTTTATTTAGCTTTTAAATACAAAAATGAGTCACAATTATTCAAACAATTTCATAATTTTCTCACAAAAAAGGACTCATAAAATACATTTTTATGAATTACTAGCGACAAATAATGCATTCGAATTTAATGTAACGAATAGAAATCTTGCTAATGTATTTCACTAATGTTGTTATGAATTCAGGTGTAATACAATATGTCACCTGTCTTTTTATTTATATATTATGTATTCGAGAATAAATTTAGAGGATGTGATTTAATGGCTTTAAGTAGGCTACTGGGTTGGTAGAAATCTTACCTGATCGATAGCAGATGATATATGAGAGGAGAATTAGACGACTAACCACACTGGATGAGAAGTATGTTATGATGATGATCTGAAATAGATGTCCTATAAATACCATTTTTGATTAGGTTTACATCCAATTTGTCGCGCACCTAATCAGAATAATTACATGATTATTAGAGCAGGTAACAAGGCTATCTCTCACTTGGGGTGTGAAAAATCATGTACACTACTGATAGGCTATCCTACTTCCTCACCTAACCAGAGGAAATCGACGTTTTCGAGCAATTAAATATGATAAGTTTGTCATAAGCCCCTGCCCCCGGGATACACAGGGCGCATAGGGTGAGCTATCACGGACCGGCGGGCAATGTCGATGTGACATGATTGGATCCAAATGAGAAGAAATTGACGGTACTTGATGTCTTAATCTGTCTGCCCATGTCATAACACAACAAATAAGTCAGTTTCCTTACTGTATAGTTAATACTGCAGGGTCCATTTCAGAAGGCAGAAGGAACCCCCTCCCAAGACGGAACAGGTCCCGATACGGGAAAGATAGCAAGAACTTAGTCCTGGGCTGTATCATGAGCGCGATCTATGAAACCCTAGGGTAGCAATCTTACAGCACAGTTAGTGACACGTATTTCACGTGCCGTATATAAATACAGCAATATTTCACGGTAAGGTTTATTATTTAAAATTTTAACATTTGCGTAAGGAATATATCTAGGCAGGAACTTATCAAGTATCAAAACCGTATCTGATCGTCGTGAGATATATAGATTTCGTTTATTTGAGTCAGTGGTATATCCTTCGATTATATAAAGATGAGATAGTATACAATAAAAGCAGCGTGCATGAAAATATGAAAAAAATTATTGCGAAATATTGCAAAAAAAAAAAAGATATGCATGTAGAGATAAGCTACAGAGAACTGTCCGCTTTTTAACATGTTGACTCTGGAAAGCAAATACACACATTTTTAATGTTTTGGAAATTGTCATAAATTTAATCCTCGATAACTAAATTTCGTTGTCTAGGGGAAGCAACTCGTTCACAACGTAAAGGTGATCGATCAACACAGATGCAGTCTCAATATTGGAAACTTGATCTTAATATCAACATGCATAAATTATGGACAAACATCTAAAGAAAAAAAATGATAAGAAGGATTGTTGTATCGCTGAAATGAATTCCCTGATCTCTATTTCCTATGACGTCGTAATTGGACTACGATACTATTTGAATGTATCATCATAATTTGGCCGTGCTTATTCTGAATCATATATAGGTATATCAAGATTACAAAAATCTTATGTATGTACAATAAGTATATTTAACATTGCAGAGATGAATCCTTTAGTCGATGTGTATTTATCTCGTAGTTTTTATATATTTTATATGACATCGCGGGTCTTATTATTCAAAGTATCTTAATCTACACTTCATATTTTACACATATGTTGATGTAATATATAGAATAGTACTTACAGTGCATGCATGATCACTCATCAAATTAAAGAACGAAATGCATTTGATAAAGATTTGAAATATTTCACGAGTTGGATGACGTCTATGATGACGTCATTCTTCCGGAGTTAAACCAAAACCACATTTCTCAGAAATTTAAACTTACATGTCTGGCTCACATGATACGGAACTGTATTAAAATATACTACTAAGTACCTCTGCAAAACTTACACATTTCACAAATTTCAAAATGTACCTGACTTGCGTCTGTTTCCTTTTGTCGTGCCTAGACGAAACAGCTGTGTTTTTTTTAATATACCCAAAATACATTGGAAATATACGATAATATCAATTTGTGAAGATATTGTTTTGTATTCACTGTTTAACTATGCTTTGCAGATCTTGCCTTTTTTGGAATTTACTAGATATTTTTTCATATGACCAAATGCAGTATCTACTATATTGAGGACCGAGAAAATAACTTGAAACTTTTCAAACACAAATTTCTTTGAATTGAAATCAATGCCATTAATCGTGTTATCATGTTCTCAAGTCTTTTTTCTATATTTTTTTGTTTTATCTTATTCTTTTTTTCATGTTTGGTAGAGAAAGATAGGCGACACTGGACCAGGCATAAGGCGTATAACTTATCATTGTAATGGAAGTAATAATTTGATGTTCATTTTTTTATCTGCAAATAGTCACATGGAGGAGCGAATTTATCTTTATCATAAACAAGTAATATGACCAATGCTAAAGATAATAATTTTATCTGTATGAAAAGTCATTACTTTTGTTATAGAATATATTGAAAGAGAAATGGAATATTTGTATGAAGCTTTTTGCAATTATTTAAAATTCCATTTATGTTCGGGTCTCTAAAGAAGAGATTTTGTAAGTAGGAGATGTATAGTTTTCTTATATTTGTTTCTGAAAGTATTTGAGTCAATGCACCTACGTGCATAAATAATACATTAATATACCGAACAAACCAGTGTAGACATCATACACAAATATATCTATGTAGAGTTAGCAACTCGCCAACGATCACTCTGTTCCGGATCGTCCTTTGAATTGGGTCAGAAACTTACGTACGCCCTTGTCACAGGAAGTGACCGTGCCAGATGGACCGCGATACCGACGATAAGACCCCAATACAGCTACTCAAAACGGAAACATCCCATAATACTACAAACTTGAGCAACAATCGTATTTATATATCTCCTTGGGGCCCACTTGAATCTCGTTTGACAAACAAGACATTGCTGTGACACAAAATTCAGCAGAATTAATAGCATCAAAGACACGCTCTGCATGTACTTTTTTGGGATTTTGAAAATACCTCAAATATTCATATTGTAAAAACTCACATATCTTTTGTATTCTCTTGTCGGTCATATTTCCAACGTTGGTTTTTACAATTTATATCAACTCTCTAAGAAAATGACCTTTCCCCTTTCTCAAAAGAAGAATATCTTTTGATAGATTTTTACATTCTATGATCCATAGCTTGGACTTAGATAGCCAAGTCTGTGGTCAAAGGGGTTCAAAGTCTTATTGTCCAAAGTGTTGACGTGTCAATATTTGTCGCAACAAACCTGGACTGTAAGGTGCAATGGTCAAAATTGCACCTTGTAATTCAAAGGTTATACTCTGTGTACGTAAATCAAAACCAAGTATTCAATAATTTCAAACGACAAAGTGATTACGTGACTGAAACTAACTCGGATATAAATAATGAACACACAATGCCGTTTTTTATATAATATTTCAGAACTAAAATAAGATATTAACAAATAGTGATGTATGTTTATAACTCATTAGTCGGACTAGTTAACGTAACAGCCACACGGACTCGGGATCACAGAGACGCTTGCTATACAACTGTAGGTGTAGCCTCGGGGATTCGCTCAAATTTAATTGCACATACGCACTCCATCGGAACAGGTGCTCGCCTGACCCCCCGCCGCGCCCCCAACGGTACCCCCTTTGTGACGAAATATGTGTGCAAGTATAAAGCAAT